TGTTGTCTTGAGGAAATAGTTATGTATTAAACGAATTGTGGCTTATCAGGAAAAAAAAAATGCTACAGGAATTGTGAAAATGTTCCATGAACAATAAGGTGCTCAATCTCTTTTTTCTAGACTACATTACTCCATATAACCAAATGTTCAATACAAAATAGAACTGAAGTGAACTTATGAAATGGTTATGCATATGAATTCTCTTTGCAGTGGATGACTAACTGTCAAATGTACTTTGACCAAATATTCTCGGGAGGTTTTATACCAGTCAATTGTATTGAAGTTTAACACTAGTCTGTATGAAGTTAAGCCTATTCACTTGTATTGGGGGCGCTTCAGACCGAAACATTCACTTTTTTGTTTTGAGAAATAAGTAGAGTTCCATGCCAGTTGATTATTTATGTTTTAGCGGTCATGTCCCATTGCAGCTTTTGATTCTTGAATCTAATGCAATCAATTCTTGTTGTGCCAGGTGGCAGAGAGAGCTTTATTTTTATGGAACAACGATCACATTGAGAACTTAATCAGACAGAATCGTAAAGTTATACTGCCCATTATCTTCCCTGCATTGGAGAAAAATGCTAGAAACCATTGGAATCAGGCTGTCCATAGCTTGACCTTAAATGTCCGCAAAATCTTCCAAGATCTTGATCCAGAGCTGTACAAGGAATGCTTACTCCAGTTTGAGGAAGATGAGTCAAAGGAGGAAGAGGTTAAAGCACGACGTGATGCCACATGGAAACGTTTGGAAGAAGTTGCTGCAAAGAAAGCTGCAAGCAACGAACCTGTGCTTGTTTTCGGCAAAGCACCTCCCCGCTCTAGTTGAGTTTAGCTGAAGAAAGTTGACCATTCAATGACATCCAATTTTTTTCTCTGATCGAAATGGGATTGGTAATACTACCGGCAAAATGGTTCAGGTGGTGGAATGCTCGTACTTTGTTGATTGCTCATTGCTACTGAATATTCCAACATCATATGCGTGTATGTTGTAGTTGTAGCTAGGAAAAGTTTCTGGCAGATGACCACATAGTCCAACAAACATTCTGCCTCATTTGTTTCTTGTAATGTTATTTCATAGCTGTTCTTTTGCTTAAAATGATATACAGATATGCAATTCTACCACCCCTAGACTAGTGTATGCAGCAGCAGGACACAGTTTTGACAAAGTTCTTCTTCTTTCAGCTTCAACAAGAGATGATGGACAACAGATAACTCCGATCAGCCTAGGCCTAGCTTAGCTTGTTCACAGCCGGTTTGTTGTCTGTCTCTTCGTTGAACCTGAACATCCTTGGGGCTTAGACACCAAACGTTCGCTTGTGGACTTCTTTTATATATGAATTTTTAAAGTTTTTTGTCTTTATCAACTTGCCTAACTCACGTATGTTATAATATTTAATCTAGTTAAGGAAAAAAAATTCAATTGTGTAACGGATTGGGATACCTAGTACTAAATTGAAATTACCTTCAATAAAAAAAAAAACTCAAATAACGACTAGGAAGCATCCAGACAAAAAAAGAAAAAATAGAATAACACAGAGACTCTGATTCTGGTTCGATGGGTTGGCAGTGAGTTGGCGACTTTGATGTTGCTCAAATGTTCTGTGGGGATAATTCTCCCTTTAACGTTGGGTAGAAGCTTAATACTATTGAACGCGTCAATCAAAACACATAGAGCCAAACAATATCTACAAAGCCATACATATGATACGGCACACATTCTCTCACTCTCTCTCTCTCCCTCCAAGTCCAACTTGTGTTTAACAAAATAATGTCTTGAGTTGAACCTGCTTACTGGGATTGGACAGAGAAAGGGAGGGCGAGCTTTGGCTCGTTTACCTTTTTGCTTTTTTGCCAACTTTTTTTTTTCTTTTACCTTCTCTCTCACAGGCTTAATATAATATGACAGGGAACTATGAAATTGTGAAGGTTCTGTTCTTCAGGGCTGTTCTGGTCAGCTTGTCTTCTTCCTCTCTCTCTCTCTTTTCTCTCTTGACCCAAAATTGAATAAAGAACAAAAGAAAAAAGCTCCTTGCTTTCTTCCTCTGCTTAGACTCCTGCTTCTGTAAGTATAAAATTCATCCATTTTCTTTATTTTATTATAATATCAGATTACTTCATTATCCTTTTGCTTTTTGCTGGCACCCTCTTAGATTTTTCTTTTATGAATCACTTTGCCCTTTTGAGTTTTTTATTGGTAATGATAAGGAATGCTATCTTTGTGTTTTAGATCGCATCCAGATCGTGTCAGCCAGTGAGCCACTTGGGTAGCTGCTGATTTGGTAAATACACTCAGAAGATTGAAGACAAGAGCTTCTGGTGTATATATTCTACTTTGGGAAGTTGTTATTGATCTTTGACTTGAGGGTGCCAGTTTCTGCTTCTGGGCTTCTAAGTTTGACTCTCAAGGTGTCAAATTCTTCTACTTTATTCAGATTGCTACAGATATATAGAGATTCTGAAATTCTTAGAAGAGAATGATATATGAAAACAAGAGTTTTGCTTCCCTTGATTATTGATTCTGGGATTACTTTATCTTCATATGGAAATGGGTGTCTCTATCTGGATTTTTTATTTCTTATAATATCGATTTTGTTGTTCATTGTTTTGAAATGGGTTGTATGTATCTGGGTTTTGACTCTGTTATTTGAGGTATCAATTGGGTTCTACTTTGAAGGAGCTTCCACCCACAACTGGGCTTGACAGGATTTGTGTTTGAGGCCATTTCTTTTTCAAATCATGATCAAGCAGATACTTGGTAAGCTTCCACGGAAGCCATCTAAGTCAGCTGAGAATCGTGAGTTTGGGGGTTCATCTGCCTCTTCATTAAGTTCAAGAAGCAGTGACGTAGTATGTAATAGGCCAATTAACTCAAACAGCCTACCTCTGTTGGGTCTTGATTCTGCTTCAAATTTAGGATATAGCCATGGAAGTAAGCTCCCTCAACTTGTAAATTCAAATCTAAATGGAAGTTCTGCTACTGCTTCTTATCAAGCGTTGCCAGCATTTAGGGATGTACCAAGCTCTGAGAAGCAGAACTTGTTTATGAAAAAGCTGAACTTGTGTTGCGTAGTGTTTGACTTCACTGACCCAACAAAACATCTGAGAGAAAAAGACATCAAGCGGCAGACGTTGCTAGAGCTGGTAGATTATGTTACTTCTGCAAATGGAAAATTTACTGAAACTGTTGTGCAAGAGGTTATAAAGGTGGTAACAGTGAATTTGTTCAGGTCGTTCTCTCCGCAGCCCCGTGAGAACAAGGTTTTGGAAGCATTTGATTTGGAGGAGGAGGAGCCCTTGATGGACCCTGCATGGTCACACTTACAGATTGTGTACGAATTTTTACTGAGGTTTGTTGCATCGCCTGAGACAGATGCAAAGTTGGCTAAGAGGTACATTGACCAGTCTTTTGTACTCAAAGTATTGGATCTCTTTGATTCTGAGGATCCTAGGGAAAGGGAGTATTTGAAAACAATTCTGCATCGCATCTATGGAAAGTTTATGGTGCATCGCCCATTCATTAGGAAGGCAATCAACAATATATTTTTCCGATTTATTTTCGAAACAGAAAAGCATAATGGGATTGCTGAGCTTTTAGAGGTTTTGGGCAGTATAATCAATGGATTTGCTCTTCCACTTAAAGAAGAACACAAACTCTTCCTTGTTCAGGTTCTGATCCCCCTTCACAAACCAAAATGCTTACAAATGTACCATCAGCAGTTGTCCTACTGCATTTCACAGTTTGTAGAGAAAGATTGCAAGCTTGCAGATACTATTATAAGAGGCTTATTAAAATACTGGCCAATTACAAATAGTTCAAAGGAAGTCATGTTCCTAAGTGAGCTGGAGGAAATTTTAGAAGCAACTCAGCCAGCAGAGTTTCAAAGATGTATGGTACCCCTCTTCCGCCAACTATCTCGTTGCTTGAGCAGTTCACACTTTCAGGTAGTGAGCTGTGTCTTCTTCTAATTTAATGTTTCTTTGCGCTTTGCATGTTCAGACTTTCCAAGTCTTTAGCTCTTTCCTTAGTAAGTAAATTTAGTCTAATTCTGGAAACATGTCTTTGTTGTATTTAAGAAAAAGTTATTGAAGAGAGAAAAAGAGGTGGGGAGAACCAATCTCTCTCTTCCTCTTGCGCTCTAAAAGGCTTTGCATCTCACCTTTCATTAAATCTGATAAGTATTGTCTGCTATCTGGTTTATTTTTACCTTTTTATAGACCATTAGTCATTGTTGTTGTAATTCCATCCATATTCGAGTACCAGGTACTTCTTCTGAATTCTTTTCTTGGACAATGTTATAGTTTCAGAAAGGTTAAGCTCACAATTAATGCCTCTTTTCACGTTGATATAGTTTTCAGTACAGATAAAATGTTTCTTTGGCACAGATGCATATCTATATGATTCTGGTGAAAATTCTAAATAGCGACTGCTACATATAACTGATCGTTGTTGCTGGATTGCATTGTTTAACAGTTATCTTATTATCGCTTGGATGATTTTGACTGATGGTAATGGTATAGAGGATCAAATGCTATTATGCTGCTGACCCCCTAGTTGGAGATGCTGAATAATTATGCATGTCTGAGGTCAAACCATTTAATAGGATTAACTGTTCACTCTTGTGTTTGTCAAATGTCAAGCAATTTTTGGAATATCTTTTGGCATATTGACTGAATCTAGGAATTAGCATCTAGTACTATTTCTTCGTTGCCTTTCATTTACTAAATTCCAGTTTTCTGTATGAAATCCTGATCCGGAATATACTCAGAATTACGTTCCTAGTTTTACTTGTGATAACAAGACATTCCCTACCTATCCTGACCAAAAATCTTGAGCTGACTGATGCTTGCTTTTATAGGTGGCAGAGAGGGCATTGTACTTATGGAACAATGATCACATTGAGAACTTAATCAGACAAAACCGTAAAGTCATAGTGCCCATCATCTTTCCAGCCTTGGAGAAGAATGGTCGCTACCACTGGAACCAAGTGGCCCGGAGCTTGACATTAAACGTCCGTAAAATCTACTCTGATGTTGATCCTGAGCTATTTGAGGAGTGTTTGCTTAAATTTCAGGAAGATGAAGCAAATATGGAGGAGATTAAAACAAAACATGAAACCACCTGGAAGCGCTTAGAAGAGAGTGCTGCTTCTAATGCTGTTAGCAAGTGGAGCAGTTGTTCGCCGCTTGAACCCAATTGAAACATCTTCAAACTAATGATAGAGGGATATATTCATGTAGTTCGAAGGTCTTGTGTTTCTTTTTTACTGTTTTTTGGCTCGTTTGGGAGGGAGCATTGTGTGGTTGTGTGCTTTGAGAGGTTGAACACTAATAGATGGTTGTCCATACTCTTTTCTGTTTGCCCCTCTATTTTTGGCTCTTTTCACCCTAACGTTCAAGAGAAACTCTACACAGCAATGAAGTTCGTGATTCTGGAATTTGCACAGATACCGTATGCTGGAAACAACAAAACGGGAGTTAGAAGCTGCATTACACATTGAGGATGGCGAACATAGAGCTATAGTTGATGGTTATAAGGGTTGACATGAAAGAAGCCTACAAAATACAGGTAATTTTATCCACTTGGAGTTGATTTAATTGGTTTGAAGTATTTACTAAACTACTTAGTTTCGTTTCTGTATGTGTATGTATTATAATATCTAAACAATCCGTTTGTGTTTGAATTTTTGAATATATTGATACTTCTGAATGCCTTTTGTTGGAATGAATGTTCTTAATTGGTTTGCTTTGGGTTTTATGTTCCTAAGCATTGATTCCAAATTACTAGATAATAATGACTCTGCCTTCGTGTCATTCTAATCTATTTCAAAGTTGAAAATGAATGAAGCTATTCCATTAAAGTTATAATAGGTACTAGGAAAGAGAGCAGGGTCTCCAAGGCATGCATGTGCCAAAGACAGTGGAGAAACTACTTGAACCATAGGACTAGACTACTGAAGAAACTAGTTACGTAATCCTAAGAGCTTGATGCCAGGAAACAAAATTCCAGAAGCTCCTGATCAGATTCAAATTTAGCCATATCTTCTACTAAAGAAACTAGTTACGTAGTCCTAAGAGCTTTATGCCAGGAGACAAAACTCCAGAAGCTCATGATCACATTCCAATTTAGCCATATCTTCTTCTTCCAAGGTCACCCATGCCTCTATACCGTCACCAGAGCTACTACTCATCAATATGACAACATTTTTAACGGGCACATTGCTAATGCATGCCCAGATGGGTTTTCCCCATCCAAAATCAGTGTTATAAAATGGAAACCTAACCCAACTGCTGAACTTGTAAAACTCAACTTCTCCTTGAGAGACCAACTCACGTGTTTCTTTTACATGCTCGCATGCATGTGAAAACCCATCCTCACCTTGAAGTTTCTTCGCATAATCATCATTGATCTTCCTTATTACTTTTCTTAATTGAACCACAATATCATGCAGCTCTATATTTCTTTCATCTTTCATTATGGATGCAACAGCAAACCACCAGATATTACCAAAAGAATGCTCTGGCAAAGGTGGAGCCATTCTTTCCCTTAAATTCACCACATGGGATATCGCCATTGATGGCCTACCCTTACCAGATGTACCATTTTTTGCATTCATGCTAGACTTGCATATGAGGGCTGTCACGGCTTCCACACGAGTAGGAGCATGGTCGTCCATGCCCAAACCCTTGGATGCTTTGACTTTCATCCTGGCTAAACTGGAAGCATCAAACACAAATCTCTTTGTCACAATCTTTTCTCTCTTAATCAAATTGGATGGCTTGAAAATTTGCGTGTCCCTAGGTGGAAAGATGGTGGCTGAATTTAGGGAGGGAGTGATGTTTTCAACAACACCACGTGATCTTGTAGCCCATGCATCGAGGAAAGAAGACAGTGTTGCACCGTCTGCAATCTTGTGTGAAATGCAGATTCCGATACCCATACCACCAGAGTCAAAGAAGTTTAACTGGACGGCCATGGCTGCAACTGCCTTGTCTGTTCTAATATTGTAGGGATCAAGTGGAAGAAGTTGTTGCACTAAATTCATATCTGGACTTTTTAGTATGTCAGAGAGCTGAATGTTAGCTCTAGCTCTTGTGAAGACAACATCCACGTCTTCACAATCCACAGATGTATTGCCCTCAATCCTTCCAGCCAAAGGGTAGAAACAGGTCAGGGTTTCTGATAAAGATTTCTTCAGCTTATAAAAAATGGTCGTATCATCATCAATGTTTTCAGGAGCTGAATAGAAAAGAACCACGGGCACGTAAACTATAGGAGAAAGCTGATCTAGCAGAGAGAGTCTGTAGCTCTTAAGGTGGTGTGGGGTTGGAATTGATGGTTTGCAGTAATCTTTAGAGACTATCTCAATCTTCATCTCCATTTTCACTCTCTCTGTAGGAAATGCAGGTCTGAAGAAATGAACAATCTATTACAGAGGCTCTGTATATATATATATATATATCAGTTCAACCAACCAACCAACTCCTTTTTTAGCTTCTTTTTTTTTTTTTGTCAACAAAGATATCATAAAAGCCAACCGGCAAAGGCCCAAAGGGGAGCCAAACCCAACCAAACAAACAGGACAGACACATCAAACCAAAGAACTAAAAACAAAGAACAGGAAGCAAAAACACCAAAGGGGAGCCAAACCCAACCAAACAAACAGGACAGACACATCAAACCAAAGAACTAAAAACAAGAACAGGAAGCAAAAACACCAAAAGAACAAAACAAACGAAAAAACCACACAACAGAAGACAATGTGGAAACTTGTCTAAGCTATCTAGAAGCTTTAGCTGGTCATCCAGTGTAGAGTATACATGGCGTAGGTTAAACATACGCATATGTAAATCATGTATGTCATACCGCTACGTACGCCTACTGCCTGTGTTTAATTTTTATTTTTTAATGCTTAATAAGTCTTTAGTTATAGGACTTTCTTCCTGGTTAAGTCACTGTCACTTAGGACTTGAGCTCCACAGATAAGTAGATGAAGTTTTGACCAAGGGAAGGGAGCAAGGCTGATGAAAGTGTTGATCAACAAACTTATGGAGTGGGAGTTAGGAGTTTGAACTTTGAACAAGTTTTTGACACAAAAAATATCGAATTGGAGGAGGACTTGACCAAACTAAAAAAATAAAAATAAAAATTGTAATACTTGTACTGGTTAGAATTGGCCCTGCCAGTATGCCATTATCCCTATACATTCTTGTTGGGCAAACAAACTGTTGATAGGAGATGCCTTTCTTCATTCATTTTACCCTAAATTTAGTGCCTAATATAATCCAATCCAATCATAGGCACCAATGCACACGCTTAAAACTACCGCCAAAAGGTTTATTTATTTATTTTAAATCAATGCCACCACCGAAGGTTGTTTTATTTTAGTCATAGCCTATTATTTCCAGCTAATCAAATCAAACACACCCTCATTTCCCATTGTCTCTTTGCAACACCCAGCGATTCCCTAAAGAAACCCCAAAGATTCCTTGTTTGGCCTTTATAATTTTGGCCTTCCCCCCTGAGATAGAATATATTTTTCTTTCGTCCTTAATTTTAGTTAATTAGGATCATCCTTTCACTTTCAAGTGTTCAACTTTATACTGTACAGAAATTTGAATAAATGACAATAATTCATGTGGTCCAGCCACATTATTGCCAATGAATTTCAATGTCACTTTATTAGTTTGCATCCTCTGCATAACAAATGAACTCTTCATCTAAGATTTGTGATCTTAAATCTTTACAATTTTATGACGACCATGGAAGTTGAAATTATATCCAGAGAAACCATCAAACCTTTCACTTCAACTTCACCACACAATAGAACATACAACCTTTCTTTCCTCGAACAGGTTAATCCTCATACTTATGTTCCAGTTGTTTACTTCTATCCCAAGGAGGCCTCTGAGACACCTGATTTCTTGACTGGTGGTGATAAATCCAACCATCTCAAGAAATCTCTATCAGAAACACTAGCGAAATACTACCCGTTTGCCGGTAGGATCAGAGATAGAGTCTCCATTCACTGCAATGATGATGGGGTCACATTTGTAGAAGCAAGAATAAAAAACATTGAGCTTTCTGAGATTCTTGAGCACCCTAAAGATGAGGTGCTGGACCTGTTATTCACAGACAATCTGCAGTGGAACGACGATACGAATATCAACGTCCTCTTGGCTGTACAAGTAAGCTTCCTTGACTGTGGTGGGATGGCAGTTGGCATCTGCATGTCACATAAGATAGCTGATACCTCCACCATGATCAACTTCATCAACGACTGGGCAGCGGTGGCCCGTAACAACAAAAAATGTGATCAATATGTACCGTCTCCTGAGTTCATCTCAGCAACTGTCTTTCCCCGATGTGATCTGCCACTGTCGCCAGAAGCCATGATTGAGAAAAGCAATTGTGTGACCAAGAGATTTGTGTTTGATGCAACAAAGATTGCTGCCCTCAAAGCCATAGTCGCGGAAAAATTGCAAAACCCCACAAGAGTTGAGGCTGTGACTGCTTTTATTCATAGCCGTGCCATTTCTGCATTGAGATCAACTTCCGGGTCGTCCTCAAACCCAACCACTTTCATCCAGACGGTGAACCTCCGCGCTAGAATGGTCCCTCCATTGCCACAAAGCTCTGCAGGCAGCATGATTTGGTTCTTTACAGTGTCCACGGCTGAGGACAGTGTGGTTGAATTGCATGATCTCGTGGGTCAAATGAAGCAGAGAATGACCAAATTTTGTGACACGTATGTCAGAAAGTTTCGTGTGAAAGATCAATGGCCGTCCATCTTTAAAGAGTGTATCCAAGAATCAAGGAAACCATTTTCTAAAGGGAATTTGGTCATATATAGATGCAGCAGCTGGTGCAGATTCCCAGTGTATGAAGCTGACTTTGGTTGGGGAAAGCCAATTTGGGTCACTATTGCTAGCTGTGCCATGAAGAATGCTGTTTTCATGATCGATACAAGGGATGGCGAAGGGATTGAAGCTTATGTGAACTTGGAAAAGCAGGAATTGGATGTGTTTGAGCGTGATGCAGAGCTTCTTGCTTTCGCTTCTTTGAATCCGAGTGTCATTTGAACTCCATCCGAGCTTCAAATCTTTGTGTGTGTGTGCGCGCGTGCATGCTTGTGTTTGTTTTTATAAATGTTCTTGAATGTATTTTTCCACTCTAATGATGTTGAAAAATTAATATGAGGCTTTGAAACAAGATACCCTAATAAAAAACAAGCTATTTGAAAACATTTCAAGTACAGTTGTATTTTCTTGTAAAATCAGAGGAATATATTTAACCCCCTCCCCATTCTGTTTCTTTTTCATAACATTAGCCCAAATTTGAAGCCTCTCATATTTGCAAGTGCACATTTGGGTTCATGTGAAACTTTTATGTGTATTTTACTCACATGAACAATTGATGGTTATATTTCTTAACCTCTATAACCAAAGCTGGAAATTTATTTCAGGCCTGAGTTTGGAAAAATATGAACTTTATTGATGAATTAGATGGATCATGCACCAAAAAATTGGCAACTTTGTATGTAGTACATAATTGTCTCACAACACTTTCATGAAACAAACTTGTCCTACATTTTCCAATCAAACAAATCCAGAGCCGAATCGCATAATCCGTTTTTCAGTCTCGAATCTGTGGGTCTGAGAAGAATTTGTTGATGGTAGGCATGATCTGGGGGCTTTTGTTGCGAACATATTTCCTCAGTCCATGTTCTTTATATCTCTCTCCCTCTGCATGGTTATCAAGCACCCCAGCAGCTCTGTTCTCCTTGTTAACCCTGAAAAACCATATTCAAATTTAGGTTAAATGCAGATAAGCATGTGCTTTTATTCTTAACCCTATTTTTGTAGATGCCTGTGATTTTAATACTCTTAGGTCTCATTTGGTAGGTAGGATAAGTAGTAAGATTGGATTAACTTGATCCAATACTATGTTTGGTGCTCCCAACTGAACGTGGATGGGATAAAAGATAATCTCACCATAATACCATTATGTGCATTTTTGTAGGATAATTTATCCTTACCAAGAATGTGGGATACATAATCTCACTACTCCAACCCCTTGACCTTGGACCCAAGACCGGGAGCCCGTGCCACAAACCCAGAACACTAGCGTTAATAAATGATACTAATTATACTTTCCAATCAATCCAATTTAATTCAATCTTAGTTACCAAACATGGCCTAAAGATTTATTTACTCATGGAATTGCAGTGAAATTTGATTTTTGATATACCTGACTTCAGGGTTGGTGCAGATGTTTCTAACAAGCTGCATGCCACAGATTCCAACAGCTGCACCAACGGCAGCAAATAGTGGGTACACCTACACATCCAGGGCAAAAATAGCCTTTATGTGATTAGCCATAATTCGAGGGTTAATTAAACCTTGCACTACAAGTCAAATAAAAGGCAGCGCAACAAGCACACCCTACATGCATAGACAATCATCATCACACAAACCCTTTTGTTCCCTTCTTCTTTTAAGGCCAAAACAACATGAAACACATATCATTCATGAATCATGACCCTTTTTCTCTTACTTTCTCTCAGTTTCTCACCAACCAAACAGAAAGAAAAAGTTTTGATAAAAACAACCACAGAAAAATATAATTATAAAAAATAAAATAACAGTGGGGTGGGGGCAAGGAGAAAGAAAGAAATTAAAAATACCTCAGGCTTTAACCATCTGGAGGAAGCCATGCTGAATCTGTGGAATAAAACAAAGAGAAGAAAATAGAAGATGAATCTTCTTCTTCTTCTCTAGGAGGAGGATTGAGAGAGAGAGAGAGACAGAGAGACAGGGCAGAACAGGGCAAGTTTTTTCACAATTATGACCTCTGTATTTATTGCAGGCACTAATTACCCGATTTAGACTTCAACAAAAATGAAAGGTTGAGCGTGTACGGAAAATGAAGAAAAACAAGGCCTATCATCCAATTTTTTAAGACCATTTTTGGCATAAATTTTTATTTTTTGTTGGAAGATATCATTTTGGGCATAATTACTAATTTTTTTTATTTTTTTTTGTGGCCTTTCTAATTTCCGTGAAATGTGTAACGCTAATGTGATTATTTTTGCATGCTGACCAAAAACTTTGTTTTCAGACGGATCAGATTATTAGGGTAATAACAGTTATCTTATTCTGAAAGATAACAAAGTTCGTATATCAGGAAACAAAAAACCAAGATTGTTATGTACGAAAAAAGATAAGAATTATTCTTAGATTTCGAATGGTGCTGAACCCAAAAAGGCTTCAAATGGAACGGCCCAATTCCCAACCCTCTAGCCCAGCTCAAACAAATCTTATCTGTGAAGATCTGAAGGTCACAAGTATTGTATATGTGAGTTAGGTCAGTTGGCCTGAACGAAATTGAGGTTCCACCCCAAAACCAATTAGCAATGGTAGGAGTAGCTCAACTCCTTATAAGCCCTTGCTAGATT